CCCCCGCGGGGCGTGCCGGGGGGGAAGTGGGGTCTCCCGCCACGGCGGCCGCGTTGGGAATCAGCTGGAGCCCAAGCGCCTCCGTATCCCGACGGCCGGAGCAGCCGGGGAAGCTCCCGCCTTGGAGCCGCGGAGCTCGAGCCAAGGTCAGCGCCACGAGGGCACGGAGCACCAGCAAAGCACGACGGGGCCGGCGCGAGGCCGCGGCCTCCGCGCTCGCTTCACACACACGCAGGACACACGGACAAGGCAGTTACGATAATTTACGTTTTAATCGGCCAAATATACAAGTTCCATTTTTTGAACGTTATCGGTATTTTCTTTTCCTCCATCTGGGTCTGGTACATTTAATGTTTGCGGGTTTTTTGTTTTTTTCCTTTAAACAAAGGATGACGTGGTTAAAAAATGGCACTATCCCTAATCAGGAGAAGAAAAAAAAAATGAAGAGGAGGGAAAAGGGAAGATTGGCTGCAAGAGAGGAGGGATGAAAGCGGGAAGGAACAGCACTCCCGGTGTCCATGCAGTCAGGCTCCCAGCTCAACCTCACGGGCGTTTGCCCAGAAGGTTTCCCCAGACACGTTCCCCTTTGGGCTTTCACCAGCAAGTCAAAGGTCCCACCCCAAGCCCCAGCCCACAATGACCCCACAGTCTAGTTTCTTGCAATCTAATATTTGAAGCATCTCCCCTCCCGCCCTGCCCCCTGTCTATGAGTTCTTAACCCTAAAAACAGCAAAAACATTCAGGTTTCCAAACTGTTACAGAGAATTGCTGTTCAGCACAGTTCTGCACCAAAGATAGCAGCTGCCCCTAACCCCGAAATGGAAATCTGTGCCAGGATGAAGACAAACACATCATCAGTGTCTCTTGGAGGTGAAGGTGACTTCGATGCCACGGTACATCCCATGTGGCATCGATGGGATGCAACACAACAGAGTTCCTGGCAGGCACCAGGCACAGTTCCCTGGCGTTTCCTCCTCTTGCACGTCCTGGGCTTACTTGTTAAGGGATAGTGACTGCAGTCTTTTACCTGCCATAGCCGCTTCATCTTTCGCTGGAGGAGGAAAAGAAAGAGGGGTCGTCATTTCAGGGCACACGTGAACCGGGGTTGGCTGGACAGAAATCCTGCTAGCCACAGAGTGAGGGAACGGGGAAAACTCTGTCCCTCCCTACCAATCCCTGGCAGGTCTCCTCTAGGGTTGAACAGAGTGGTCGCTCAACCTCAATCCCTTCTGTCCCTGGCCTCTTCTCAGGCTGCTCTAAGTTATCCTGATGCTGCTGCACGAATTTGCCTGTGGAAGTCAGCGGGAATGCTCCCTCCTCCTGGTTCACACCTGCCAGAGCCGGGCTGAGGGGAAGTCGGGAAGCGGAGAAGCGCAGGGAGATTCCCTGTGCAGTCGGGATCCCCAGCAGGCCAAGCGGATTAACCACATCCATGAGCACCAGGAACTGACTAAACCCTCAAGCCAGAGCAAGCGCTGCCTGCGAGGCTGAGAAAAAGGAGCATCGAGAGCAATTCCCTCTTCTCTGGCTTCTCCTCATTCAATGTCCTCAAGCCCTACAAAGCCAAACCTCTGAGAGGGAAGTAGCCAGGCCTAGTTTAGAAGAGCGGAGCTGCAGTGACACGCAGGGGCACCACAGAGCCTCAGGAGGGGAGAGATCACTACACGCAGTGTCAGAAACCACGGCAGCGCAGCCATGGCAAGGGGAGGTGATTTATCATTGTCCTACCTTTTCTTTCCTCCTCCTTCTTCCTGGCAGCTTCTTCCCTTTGCTTCCGGATGATGGCTAGTCGGGCGAGATCTGCCTTCGCTTGTTCTGTTTTACCAGCTAGGTGCATTTTCATGTATCTCTCTTTTGCCTTCTGTTTCTCTATTTCTTCTCTGTTTGAGTGAAACACCCCAGTCATGGACGTACCCAAGTGAGCAAGGAGACAGAGACAGACTAAGGGAGTGGGAAGGAGGTTGAGCAGAGCTGGGATTGTGTGCTGGGATGAACAGAGATGGCATTGCCTGCTGGGACCCCTGTCACTACCTTACAGCACAGGCCACAATTACAGCAGGGTTCGGATGGGGATGATGAGGGGGGTCATTTCTGTCTCTGCTCTGGTAAGTAAGAGCACTGACACACAATGAGGACAAACAATTTAGCCCCAGATTCCACAGCCTCATCCTCCCAGCTGCACTTCTGCTCAGCAATCTATACCAAATAAGCAAGCTTGAATCGTTCACTCGCTGTTGGTAAGTGAAACTGGAGGATTAGATTTGGCTTCTCATCTATTCACCCACTCAGACAAAACTTCACCAGGACCCCAGGGATCTGCAAAATTGCCACCAATCCCCAGGACACCTGCAGAAAGAATAAAGTGGACCCCAATGTGACCCATGAGTAACGTTTATTTAATAATATTTTGTGGGTTTTTTGGTTTTTTTCCTCAAAAAAGCAGTGGTCAACAACTGCTCCTCAGCAACAAACACTACACTCCCAACTCTGGCCAAGCTGCCTAACCCAAGGACGACCACAGCTAGTCCCAGAGGACACCCAGTTTTGCAGTGTTTGTAGCAAAGGATATTTTGAACCAAAGTGAGTCCCAACAATTATTCTGCTGCTTCGTGCCAGCTTTACAGGGGACTGCACATAATTCCATGGAGCACCAGCATGCAGGCAGCAGGGAAACACCCCCCGGGCCAAGCGGCTGCATCCAGCAAGGATGAAACGCCGGGAAGCGCCGGCTCCGCGCGGCAGCAGGAAGGACTCACCGCTCTCGCCGCGAGAGTTCCTTGGGTCCATCCAGGTCCAGCTGAGTTACTTTTTTGGTTGTCTGAATTACACGATTTGGATTCTCTATGTCTATCAACCCTTCCACTCCTTTGCGCTTTTGCTAAGGTTGAAGAACAACAGGCAGGTTAATAACTGCTGCAACACCCCAAACTACAACTCAAACACGTCGCCCCACACCCCAAAAAGGGAATTCAAGATCCTGTCATTAGCAGGCAGCAAAGCCACTTATGAATGAAGCATTTTCAGTCTTTTCAGAAACGTTCCTGTCCTAGCATTTCACTTACAGAAATGCCTAAGTTACCAGAGAGATGCTCCAAGGATAACATACAACCAATAAGCTTTTTTTCTGGCTTCCAAAAACAGTTCTTGCATAAAAACTACTACAGGAAGCTCCCAGAGAGAACTCCATGTCACGAGTTTGCTTCTCTCTCCCACCCCATGTTGACACGAATGCACAAAGTTGTCCTACCTGATAATCATCATCATCTTCATCACTCTCATCGGAATCTAAGGATTTCTTCTCTTTTTTGGGGTCCCCTGTTGCTCCTTCACCCCCTTCCTCTTGCTCCTCTTCTTCCTACAGAATCACAGGCGATTAGAGGAAATGTGTGTCAATAAAAATCCCAGCTCTTCCAGTGACTTTTAATCTGGAGGATGGGACACAGTTCAGAGCGTGGGTGTCTGGCCATGAAGGAACAAGAGCTCATTCTAGTCCACTAATAATCATCATCTGCCCCTGCAGATTCCCTCCAAACAACTCGGCTGTTTTCTCTAAGTAACAGGCCAGGAAGAAAAACACCATAAAAGACAAAACTGGTACTTTACTTTCCCCAAATGAAAGATCCTCAGGAGATATTTTGGCCCAGGTTTCCACTGCATCTCAGGGACGCTGGTGGAAACTACACGGATGTTACAAAGTGCTGGATTCACTCCTAGATCTATATCAAAAAAATCTAGGGAAAAGCCAATTGCCAACCACCACCGTGAATACTTTATCCAAAAAAATTACAGACTTTTCAGCACAGTTTTACCAGACGGATCCTAGGAATTAATTGGAAGATAAGATGAGAAGAACCAACATTGGTGCAAACAGCTTGTTTTGCCGTTACCAAATACCCCTCACCAGAGTGACTGGCAACGTGGATAAGCTGGGGGTAGTAAGAGGAATAATTTGATGAAGTTTTTTAAAGGTTTCCTTAATGAAATAAGGTCAGATGCATCCATTACCATGTGGTATGGATGATGCTAAATAAGAAAAAGAGAAATCTTTCTCAAAGAGTAGGTTTCTGGGTTGAGGAAAAGCAAGGCAGGCATTTCAAGTGGGGTCCTGCAGAGGCTTGTTCTGGACCATTTCCACTTGGTATTTTCATTAGCAGCTTGGAAGCAGGGAACACTCATAAAATTCATGAATTACACCACATTGGCAGGAGCCAGAATCATTTTGGAAAATGGGATCAGAGCCACAAGTGGTTTAAAAGATTGGAAAGACGGTGCGAAACCAACAAGGTGGAATCAGAACACAAACCAAGAAGTTACACTTCGGAAGGAGAAATCTGATATAAAGTTGGAGTTTTAGCCTGCTTCTGGCTAAGCAGCAAACCACACAATCGTCTTGTGTTACAGCTGGTCAAAACATTAAAAGGGAGTCACCAACATGGCTCATAATTGCATGAAAGAGTAATCTTATTCTGGGAGGTATTCATCAGTATTTCCTACATGGAGTATAATTATCCTACTGTAGTCAGTGCTGTGAGGTTTCAGCTGGAACAGTGTATTCAGGCTTAGGCAGCACTTTCAGAGAGTCACGGATAAATAGCAGTGAACATGTAATCAGAGCTGCGATAATCTGGGAATATGGGACAGCTGGAACTGCAAAAAGCAGCCATGCCTTTGATAATAGCAGTAAGATAGCCGTGGATGGCAGGGGCATGAGCTTGTCGGGGCACAGAAACACACCAAAAAACGACTTGCGCCAGAAAACTTATCTCTCCCTGCAAGTTATAAGTAAATAAGAAAATCAGGCATACAGGTAGAAGTCAAAGGAGTTTTGTCTGTTAAGTCTAGAACAGAAAGAGGGCAAATAATAACTTTTATTTCTGTTCCGAATCCTTAAGATGTGACCCCTTTTTCTCCCAGACAAATTGTGGAGCAGGGATAGAAAATTAGGGTGTGCTGGTGACCAGAGGGATCAAGTGAGGTGAGGGGAAGCTGTCTAGAGCTGCTGGGAATCATCTTCACTTCCAGCTGCTGACAGGACAGTCCACTTGGCTCTGCTTTTGTGTGGGGAGCTGTACTGGATCACACCCTGCAGTCTCCCTGGACAGGGCATTCCAAATCCATCTGTAACAATGGATTAAGCTGATATTCCTCTTGAACAGCAAATGAAGCAAGCCGTGCAAGCCAGGGCTTAAAACAGCTAACATTAAACATACCCTTGCCTTCTGTTTCTCTGCTTGCAGCTGTGCATCGATCTCCTCAGGGCTTGTGTACTGTCGTGCTCGGCCTTTGTGGCCTCCTTTTCTACCTGTGCAAAAAAAAATAAGTGGTTTAGTGACAAAGTTTGAAAAAAATCTGGCTCCTGCCTTAGCGCATTGTCTGGGCTCTGGATGCACACGGGACAAGCCAAAATATCCCACCTGGTAAAACCAAAGGAAAAAGGAACATCGATTTACCAGCCTCAGCTAAACATTCAGGAGCCTGGATAAGTCAGGCAGAGAACGAGCATCACTAACGCACACAACCAATTCCTGCTTCCGCGTGGGCTGCACGGAGTTCTACGGACCACGTCAGCAAACGTGGGTTTGTCCCGGCGGCTCCGAGCCACCAGGGTCTCCCAGAGGGGACACCTCTGTCCCTGCTCCACAGCAGAGCTGTCGCACGGTCCGTTTATCCGGCAACAGAATTCCCAGCGCGCGCAGCTCCCGGTGACTCTATCCTCCCTTGTCCAGCCAGGTCTAGGCTTGGGGCCCCTCCGAGCCGCTTCCCGGGCAATCCGCAATCCCACAGCTGCTCCCGGCGTTCCCGACACAGGAGGAATCACAACATGTTCCCGCGGCAGCAGCGGTTGCCACCAACCATCTCCAAGGAGCTGCTTTCCTTAACCCCTCCCCTCAAGGCCAGCTGTGCCGAAGGGAAATAGGAAGCTCCTTGGACAAAAGCACTGGGAATTCTAATGAGTTGGAGCACTATTAAAAGGAACCTCCACGTTTTACTGCTTTATAAGGAAAAGCAGTAAAAGCTCGAGCTTTAGAAACCAGGAAGGGGTCAGGCTGACTGGCTGGATTGCCCGGCTGAGGTCGGAGCCGAGCTCAAACCTTGGTTATTAACATGAAATTGCCAGGGCCACCGTCGCTCCCTCCAGCTCCAGGAAGGAGCAACGTTTTCCAACGTTTTCCTTCCTGCTCGTCTACCTTCCTGAAGCTCAAGGAGCCGCTGGCAACACAAGCTGTGCAAAGAGGCAGCCTCGAGCCAGGCAGCTCAAGGTAAAAACCTGTGCACGAGCCTGGCAAGAAACCAAGGGGCTCTGGCTAGGGAGCTGCTGCAGGAGGCTCTGGAAGCGGCAGGGAATCCTTGAATCCCGCATCAGCTGCCGGGGATGACAGGGTGCATGGGAGCAGCGCGGGAGAACAGGGCTGGAGACTCCCCGGGATGCACCCAAGGGATCTGCCACGGCTGGGCCTGCGCCTGGGAGCATCGGAGCAGCCCCACTGCGGCTGCGCTATAGAAATTCCGGGTTTCCCAAGCAGCTCTCCTGGGTCAGCAGGGACAAACGTGATTTATTCCAGCCTGGTTAAGGCGGCGCCTTTCAGACTTTTCTCCAGCCCAACATCCGCACTGCTTTTTCCATCTGCCCATTCCCAGCTCCCACGGCGGCACCAACCTGCGGATCGGCCGGGGCAGCACCCCAGGGCACCGACCCCTGCCCAACAAACGTCATCCCAAAGGGACAACAAGGGACATCGGAGCCACCCGAAGTGAACTACAGCAGCTACAGGCTTTGCTGACGCCAGGTGATTCTCTTCACTACTAGGTGCCTTTTAAGGCTTTTGAAGAGCCCGGGTTATTATAGCAAATACCTCTGCACCGGGGAAAGACAACTCGAGGGAAAAGCGGCTTGGAAAGCAACGAAATGAAGAGTAAAATAAGGAGCAGGATTCTCATCCCCCTTCGTGGAGCTCTGAGCAGAGGCACAGGTGCTTTCAAATGCACTTGTCCTCAGCTGCGAGCAGCACAGTTAAGGAGTTTATATCAAAAAGAATGGGAAAAATGAAGGAATGGCTTGTTCTTCTTGAGTCTATTCAGAAAAGAAAACTTCTGCAGAAATAATAATGTAACAAAAATCATTATAGTTAAAACCTCCAGTTTATGTTAGGCAATAAGAGCAAAACTCCTCTGCTAATAGCATAAAAACGCCTCTGCGCTTGGGGGTGGAGGAGAGACCCCACTTTTCCCCAGAAAAGAGGAAAAAATTGGTTGAAAAAAAAACATTTAAAATTGTATATGAAATACAGAGCAGAAAAAAAAATGAATTAAGGTGTTTAAATACATTAAGCCAGAGCTGTAACTCATCACAGTTATTTGCCTTCGCGCACACACACAAAAAGCTTCAGATCTTTTTACCGACGTTAATGAACCGGCACAGAACAAACCGCGTAAGGACAATGCAAACAGGGAGAGACATTTTATTAAATCAGAGCTTGGGAAACGCTAATGAAAGGCACTGCAAAAAGGCTGCCGAGCAGATGACTAAGGAGGGCTGCTTTACATTAACGCGCACGGAGCAGCCCGCGAACGCTCGGCCCGGAGCCGGCTGCGCGGCCGGGCACCGGGGAAGGTTCTGGGTGGATCTGGCTCAGCTCTGGGACTCTCCTTAGCTCTCCTTAAACACCCGGCAGGTCGGTACCCGCTCCACAGGAGTCGGATGCTGCCCAAGACCGGAGGAACCTGGCGGATTTGGGCCCCGCTGGAGCAAGGGGAGCGACCGCGGCCCCGCTTTGGGGGCGGACGCTCTCCGTGCGGCCCCGCTCCCGCA